AAGTGTGCTGTCAAATGGAGACCTCCTCAACTTGCATAAAACTCGTGATTCATTGTACTGCCTTCAATCCTCACCAGGTCCCCAACTTATTTGAGATATCCAGGAATGCCTCTGCACCAGATCAGGGTATCTGTTTGTCTCCCCATTTAATTTGTGCTGTTCCTTCTGGATGATAAGTGCTTGGTACACTGTGGAGCTGGGAGATGCATCAGCTTCTGACCACAGAGCCTGCACTTTGACTCCTGTTCTGTCTTTTTGCTTATGGCTCTCAGCATGTGGGAATTCAGAATTGTCCCATGTAAAATCCATAGCACAGGCCAAACAGTGCACAAATAGCCTTTTTTTGCTTGCTTGTTTGTTTGTTTTTTCTCTTATTTTAGTGTAGGGAATTAATTGACCAAAGACTGAGTGGAAGGTAATGCCCTGACCTTGGCTGTTGCTGAGGAGATTTTCTGAGTGCTGCCCACTGCTGCTAAAGATGAAAGCTGTTGCTTCTTGAAAAATGTTGTTCCTGGGCTGCTGGCTGGGATCCCAGCCTTGGCTGCTTCTGCTGTGAAATGATTCACCCCAGCCCAACAAGCCCTGGTGGCAGGAGTGGCCTTGTGAAGGAAATTGCTGTCCCCTGGCTGGAGGGAATGAGTAGTGGCTTTAGTGGAAAAAAATTCAGCACAATTTGCAAAGTTTTAGCAGAGATTAAAAACTTGGTAAAATGATGTTTTCTCACTTTTGTTTTTAATCTTTCCTCACCCATTTGTAATATGTTACATAGGGGAATTTACTTATTTTCTTAGATGAGATTTGAGATAAAGTTTCCTCTGGGAATTCCCAGAGGTTTGGATGCCTTGCACAGTGTACCATGGGTGATGTGCCCATTCCAAACTTTCTGCCACATCTTCACATGCAGTTCTGATACCAAGGCCCAGGAAAGCTTTTGTAAAACATGGTTGGACAGACAAATTATTTCAGTTTAATACATTCCTGTTGTTCACCCACAGCAATTGTGAAATAAACTCAGAAAATAAACTACCATATGTGTTTGGTTTCATAGAAGTTTAAAATAATGTTTTATTTAATACTACTAGTACATTACTTTAAAAACATACATTGATACACATATATTTGTATATACATGCACAGTTTTTGTGTTTTAGGTGATTGGTGAAAATCTGTGAAACTTCAGTAACCCAGCAGCAACTTTCTCTTCATTAAAGCAGGAAGGGCAGGGCTGGGAGATTTCTCCATGTATACAGATGAAAGGGAAACCAGTATTTTCAACAGGGAGTAAACTGGAAATCAGGGAAGATGTAGGGATGCAGGTGCAAGAAAGGACAATGTGTAAGCTCTGCTGGTGACAACAGCAGAGGCATTGTCTGGCTTTGTCACTTGTCCCTTGTGCCAACATGAGCCAGCAGTTTGGGGCAGGTGGAACATCCCAGGAGGAAAGCAAAAGTCTTCTCTGGGCTGCCACAGAGGTTCTGGCCACCTGATGGATACCTGGTGACACTGGCTGCTTCTAGCATGACCAGAAGGGTAGAGCTCCTGTCTGTGCCAACCTCAGAACTGCTTCCTATCAACTACCTAAACTTAATACCCGGATAGTAAGGGTAGATATTGCATTGCTGTCTGTATTAGACATTCATGTGTATTTGTATTATGTTATTGTCTTCTGAAAAAATCACCTCATTCTAAGGCTATAGATTCGTAGACTCTGATTAATTTAACTTTACAAAGTGAAGCCCTCTGGGCTTCCTAATTAATCCCTTAAATTATTTTTGTGGCCCTGCTCTGAACCTTCTCCAGCTGTCTGTGTGTGGACTGTAGAAATGGTTCCAGCATTTCAGCAGGAGTCTTTCTCAGTGCCCCCTTACCCACCCCATAAAAGAGGAAAGTCAAGAATTGTCTGCCTAAGTTTTGTGTCAGAATATTTTCTAGGATATGGTGCTTTTTTGTCTGCACATAAGCAATTAGATGGACCTGTCTGAAAGTGAATTTGACTGACCAGCTAGCACCCAGAAGGGCTCAGCTGATGGGGGTCTGGAGCTGGGGCACAAAGTTTACAGCTGGGCACCAACATACAGGCACCTGAATTTGGAGATGAGACTCCCTCTGGTTCATAGGTAAATGTATGATTGGCAAAACTGTTGAATATATATTTTTATATATATATACATATATATATATATATATATATATATATATATATATATATCTCAATATATATATCAGTATATCAGTGTGTGTATATATATATATATATATATATGTATATGTAAATATGTATATATATATACACAATATCAGTATATAATATATAAATCAGTAAATTCTTTATGTCATAAAAAGTGTACTTTGAAATAATTACAAACTTACAAACTGTTCCTGTTTAGGACCAGTGTCTGCAAATCTATGAACAAGATGAAAAATGCCAGGTTTCCCTGACCTTCCTAGATGAAAATTGTTTGGAATCAAGTTCTCCTCACCCAAACTTATACCCTTCAACTGACTTCAAAGGAAATAAATGAGGCTCTCAGCAGGGCAGACCACAGGCTTGTTATTCCTGTAACACTTTCTATGTCATTAACACACTTTTTCTTATCTAACTCTTCTAATAGTCAAGTAAATTGTAAGTGTTTATATACAGTTGGATCATTATTATTTTTTGCATTTAAAATTTGGGAAGGGTATTTTTCCCTTCCCTTCTGTTTATATTTACATTTTCAGATAGTACATATACAGTCTAATCACATCACTTTGAAAGTGATATAGAAAGTTGTGCTCTCTTACTCAATCAGATCTAATCAGTTTGGATGGGTTCCAAACACTAAGCATTAATCTCACTTAAACCAAACCCCTGATAGTTCATCTAGCCTGAGTATTCATGTCAAAGACATAAAACAATCTCCTTTAATGCCCACAGTACTTTTTAAATTGAGCTTTCACCATCTGTTAATAAAACCTGCTTTGTACTGCTGGTTGTGTTCTGTGGAATGTGTCAGGGGTGAATTTCTTTCCCTCCTATTCTTAAAGACTGCCTTTTTCTTTTTTTTTTTTTTCCCAAAAGTATATGAAAATTATGCAATATAGTTACAAGGAATTAGTCACACCTTGGCAGAATCTCCATTACCTTGGCTCACATCAAAGGGAAGGAGAGAAGTGTGGTCCTTACAAGCTTAGAGCATTCCTTTGCCTTGGAGTCCCACTCTGTGATGACAACTAAATTGGACACTGATGCTTACTTATTTTTCAACACGTGGGTGTAAAGCACATTGACCTTGCAGTTGACTTTTTTAGAGCACCTTTCATCATGGGCCCAAGCTCACAGCATGATGCAGAGCTCTCTGCTGCCTTTCAAGGCTCCCTGGGGAGGATTATCCAGAGGCAGAGCTGCTGAGCTGAGGTTCCCCTGTGATTGCCCCCTGGATTTCAACATCTCCTGTTATTAATCCTGGGAAAGGCACCGTGGTGTTTCCCTGTCAAACTCTTACAGAGCCCATGCTCCAAATAAATGGTGCCTTCACATGACATTTTGCATGATGCAGCAATTTAAGGTCATAATTTACAGCAAAAGGGGAGTGAACTACAAATTGGAAAGGGCAAGAGGAAGAATTCATGTTCCTCTGGGGCAGACTTTTCTGAGCACAACACTGGCTCTACAGGCTGCTGCTGCTTCCAGGTAGCAGCTCAGTGTGTCAGATTCCAGCTTTGCTTGGGAAAGCAGGTGAGCTATGTGCATTAGTTGGTTTTAAAAGTCATTACTAGACTTGTTTTCTATGATTCTGCATAAAAAAGAGTGAAAGTTTTTGTTGATGTTGATATAAAAAGGGGTGGATTTCAAGGATGCACCAAATTTCGTTTTTGAGCAAGAACTACTGAGCAAGAGACTTGATTGTCAGCACACTCAGTTGATGACACTGGGGTCTAAGCAATGAATAGGCATCCAGGGACACATTTAATCTCCTCATGAAAGTGGCATTGGAATGTTCTGGAAATATTTTGCAGCTAGGAAAGCAGAGGTTTGGTCTTCTGGCTGCCTCAATTCAAGAAGTATTTCAGTGCAGTCTCAGAGGTTTTGATGGTTACAGGATAAGTGTAGGAAAAGTGTGAGATGTCAAAAGACTGCCACACTCAACTTTTCCCTGGTGCCAACTCTTTCTTTCCCTGAAACCTGCTTTGCTGCGAAGTGCAGAAATGGTCCCACAGCATCTCACCTCAGTGCCAGTCTGAAGGTATCAGCCAAAGCTCAAGCAGAGGATGCTGTCCTTGCTTGGTGCAGTAATTAATTTGTTATTTTAGTACTTTCTTTAGTGCAAAACTCCCAGAAAAGCACTATGGCCTGCAACCCTGCAGGCTGTGCAAACCTCTGCTGTTTCCATGTTCACCCCAGGACATCCATCCATGAGATTTGCTTTTGAGGCACACTAAAATATATCTGAAAAGCATGTAGAGCCATGTGCATCTGCACCTCTCACCTCACAAGCCTTTGCTGGGATTCTGCCTTAAAATAACTGGTAGAATTACACTGAGGTGGCAGTTGTGATGGTGATGGTGATTTTATGATTTTCAAAATGTAACTTGAACATGGATTTCACTTTGCAGATGTGTTAAATAACAAAATCCACCCTGGAATTCAATTTGTATTTGATTGCACAATAGGTTAATTTCTTCGGCTACTTTTTCAGCTACTTCTTAACACTTTTGTTTTTACTTGTAAGTTTTTTGTTTGGATATAATGAGGCTTTGTGTCTCCTGATTCCTTATCTTATGTGGGTGGTAGAAAAATTGCTCTCCTGATTCAATATTTGTGGTTGTGTGGGGCAGGTGGCTTCACGCAGAACTCAGCAAAATATCTGTAGTAAATTAAAAAAAAAAGATGTATGAGTTTCTTTGCCTGAGATTTCTTTATCCACCTGGAACTTTTGCTGCAAACCCCAGGGAACCAGCAGAAGAGCTGGTTTCAGGCATGGAGAGGCCTTTTTCCAGCCTTTGCATCTTCCACAAACCTGGAGCTGGTTTGGTCTTTTGTTGGGTGTTGCAGGCCAGCCTGTCCTGGAATCCCAGCTGCATCCTGCATTGCCCGGGGGTCCCACTTCTTCTCTCTCCTTTTGGGCTCCAGGCATCATTTTGTTCCACCCTCCCCCAGACTCAAGCATGGAATGGGTCCAGACTAGATCTTTGGAATGGTGCTCAAACCTGAGATGTGGTGTAGGTCTGAGTGACCTGATAAACTCTGCAGGAGCCTCGGTCATGTGGCTCCTTGCATGATGAGCATGCTGAGCTCTGCTGCCAGGCACAGCACATTTGTCAGCTGGAAATAAAGTAAATCTGTCCAGGGCAGATACTCCACTGGGTATTGCTTACAGCTATCTGGGCGGGACAGACGAGGTATCTTCAAAATAGGTAATGTCTAGGATTTGATGTTGCCTCCTAAGGACACTTAGGAGTAATTTAATCCAAATTTATTGTAGTGGACCGCTCAGGAGAGAGAGATTTCATGTGCTTGTTGCTCGTTGCTAATGGACTCTGCCATGTGGATGTCCATGTCAAAGAATCTGTAGGGTTTGAAATTCACTTTTAATGGACTTACAGGTGTCTCCTGAGCTTCGTGCAAACACCTTCTGGAAAACAGTGAGATCCCACATCCCACCCAACATACCTGCTGCTGTGCTGTCTCATCTGTTGCCACTACAGCAAGGATTTATGGACGCCTGAAATCATGGATCCTGCCACTTTGCTCTGGGTCTTGGATGTGCACTAGGGTGACAGTTTGTGTGAAGATCCTCCTGCACAGAGTCATATATGCACTAAGACATGCAACATTTGCTAGAACTATTTAAATCCTTGCCTTTATGAATGTATAAATGAATCTTTATATAATATTCTAAATTATTATAAATTCTGTGTACAGAATTTATTTAAATTATGATTTTTAAAAACCAGTCATCTGATATTTCTCAGACAGCAAGACAAGGGAAGGACTGTGAACACTTGCATGGTATAACTTCAAGCTGAGAGAGAGATGAGATTTTTGCTTCTGGACTTCAGAAGGTCAAAATCAGTGTGGGAACATTTCCCAGTGGTGGCAGCTGCAAATGTCAGGGAGAATTGCTTTTCCAGCAGCTTCCCAGGACAGATTTTCACAGTCAGAACGATTAATTTCTTGTGTGCTGTTGGAAAACCATAATAAAAGAAACCAGGATATCATTTTGAGTTTGAGTTGATTTTGGGGATGAATTCAGAGGTATATAAGCAAGGGAGTGCAAGGAATATTTTCATTTCAGTTATATTTGGTGTGTTAATGAAAAGAACACCCAAAGCGGGCACTGACCAAACACGTACTTATTTAAAAGCAGAAGACTGGAAATTTGAAAGGTCTGTGTGACATTTGTGATAATGCCATGGTCCTAAATATGACTGTTAATAACATGAGAATTTATCTACGACAATATCAAATTTAATTTGCTGTAAGCTGTGTAACCCAGGTGTATAATGATGTGGCACATATATTCCACAGCACAGCAAACACAAAGCTGTATCCATTTGATAAACTGCTTAAGCAGCTGATGTGCTGCACTTGTTATGTATTTTTGAGGTGTTCATGGATGGTCTATGCCAGAGAGCTGACTGGAGACTTTTGAAGTGAATGGAAATGGAAAAATGGAAAAATGGAAAAATGGAAAAAACATCTCCACAAGATGTTGTTGATAAATTGAAATCCCAGAACAAATGCAACAAATTCATAAACAAGAGCCAGACTGAGATGTTTCAGTACCAGCAAGTCTCCACTTGGGTGATCTGTCTCGGTACCCCTGCTCCCCATCACAGTCCATCCCACACATTAGCAGCTTGAAAATAGCTGGTGACACAATGCAGAATAGAAAGGTTAAAGCAGCACCAGGGAATCTTTTAATTTTTAAATGTTAAAAAGATTTAAAAAAAAAATTTAAATTTTTTTTTTAATTTTTTAAAAATTTTGTTTCAGAGACACCTTAACTGGTATTTTCTCTTGCTGTGGCACCTCAGGAGGGCAGATGTGTGCTTATCTGAGCAATAGCCCAGCCATCTGCCTTCAAAGGGAAGGCTGGGTAAGTTCTTATGTCTGCAAGAACCAGGGGGTGGAGAAACTGCACATTCACACATATGGCCCATTTTTTTGATGACTAACACCTTCATTTTCTCCTTTTAAAAAGGCCAGAAGATGGGAGTGAGATTCTCTTGCAGTTTTACTGGGGAATTAAAATGTTGGCATAAGTAGGTGGCAAAAGGCAGCAATGGTAACACCACCATCACTTCTTTCACTGTTTGACTTCACTTCCTTAATGTTTTCTATTTCCAGTGAAGCGACTTGGACAAGTTGAATTGCCACAAATTTCCTTCAGGGCATGACAGCCTAGGTGGAAGGAGTTGGTGGTTTGTGTTTGGAAGCTGTCAGGTTCCCTTGGAGCAGGAGATTTTCACATCCCCTGTAGAAGACCAAGCAAGTGATTCTGTGTTAGCCCGTGCAAATTCTCAACAAATCACACAGATCCTCCTCCTGGAGGGCTCCCTCACAGGCTGGTGAAGCTCTGTATCCCAGGGAGGGTGGTTGCCCCCTTCAGAAGCCCATCAACTTCAACCCCACAGGTACCAAAATCTCTCCAGATGATCTAAGAGCACGGGATGGATGCAGATCTGGATGCAGCCTGGAGCTTAAACAGGACAAAATAGCTGTGTAAGAATAGAGTAGTCCTACATTTCCAAATTTTGCAATCTAAGATTCATACAACGTGCATTAATGTAACAGAATATTATCATCAGTGAAACAAAATGTTCTATTTTTATAGCAAATGCCAATAAATATCTCACTGACATCACATTTCAGTATCAGAGAACCCTACAATCATAGAGTAGTTTGGTTTGAAGGGACCTTAAGATCATTTAGTTCCAGCTCCCCTGTCATGGACCCTTTATACAGCAATATTTGTACTTTAAAGTCTCTACAGCCTATCTTATGGTCCAGTCCAAAATGTTTCTGAACTTGTGCATTTTGAATTAAATGCCATTGTGGATATTTTACATTAAATAAAAGAACTGTGGAGCTTCTGAGGTTCACTGTGTGCTTAGTATGTATGTGACATTGTGGCATAAAAAATAATTACCTCTAGGAAACAAAATTAATCAGAAAATACTGGCAAATAACATGCTTCAAACATGACAGAGCTTTTTCTAAGACAAAAATAACTGTTAGATGAACTGGTATTAACTTTAAAAATGTCTTTAAATTTTACCCTAAAGATAGGTTATACATGGCCTCCTTAGCCTCCCTTTCTTGTAGCTTCATATGTGATCCATATGAAATCCACATAGGCTTGATTTTCCTTCCCCTGATTGTGCTGCAATTTTCACATGTACACAGAGAATTTTAAAAACTGTTGGTCTGAACAAACACCCACAAACCCCACTTTTCACCTTTCTTGCTCAGCTGTCTCTGTCCACACCAGGTCAGAGGCAGCAGAGCAGCAGAGCTCTTTGCTCTGATTGTCTTTTCCTACATACAAAAAGGGCCAGGACAGGCACAGGCTGTCCACCTGGGGATGCTGGGAGCATTAAACCCCAGCTGGGAGCAAGCCTCAACATGCTGCAAGTTGTGCTAAGGTTGCTAAGTGACTTAAATCCACTGCACAGAATAGAACCATATAGGCTCAAAACAGCAGAACCTGACTTGGTTTCTAGTAACTCATTAAAATGACTCTACAATTCTTTTGATGTTCTGTACTAGTCTGGTCACATTCCTTTCTGTTTTATAGCATGGTAATAACAACATTCTTGTAAACAGCCATATAAACTCTAACCTTCATATTGCTCTCAACAGATGATCTGAAACCATTTTCACATCAGGATTTGGCTTTCTTACTCCCAAAAATCATATCCCACACCATCAAAGGAGCAGGGGGAAAAAATAGGGATGCACAAGTTGATTACTGCTTGGTCACTTGCTCAGGGCAGCCATGACATCCCATGAAGGCTGAAATTATTTTTGCAAATATGGCTTCTATAAATTTACTGTTTAGAGCTATTGGGGTTTCCATTCTCTTTCAGAGGAAGCTCTGCTGTGAACAGATAGACTCCTGCCTGGATGTTAGTGCCTACTCTTTATTGATTATCAGCCTGTGCTCTCTCCATTATTATCAATACACTGTCATCATCTGCCTGGATGGAACTACAACCTGTGGTAATATTTTCTGTGAGCTTCAGTTCTGTATCACACAGCTGGCAGTGGAGAATTACAGAAAGAGAGGAGGCCTAGGAGGAAAAAAACAAAGAAGCCACTCTGGTTTAGCCATGCTTGTCCACTGATAGCAGCAGATAAAGGAAAGGCAACTGGCTTTAGCTACAGAAGTGTGCTGCGAGGAGGACAGGCAGCAGTTTCCAGATGTCTCTGGCCAAAGGCTTGGCACTTAAGCATTTGCTCAAACAAAAGGGCCAAGGATAAGGGACTGCACCCTTTGCAAACAGCACAGCACATGGACATGCACTCACATGCAAAGAATTTCCACCGGCTGAACAGTTTTCCAGGCAGTCAGTAAATATGACTTATGCCTTCTCTTCCTCCATCAATTGTTTAAACAATCTGGAAGCAAAATGAGATACAATGATTTTCCCTACACTCTAAATGACAAGGAAAGATTTCAGAGATTTTAACATGTCCTCAGCTTGCTTGCTTTCTTTTCTTCCCTTCTATTTCTTTCTTATGATTATTTTTTTTATCTTATCCCAGACAACTTTACATTTTCCTTTGGACTGTCCAGTTAGAGCAGAGAAACAAAGTAATATACTGTGAACCTATCACAGAGCATGAAAAGGAAACTGTAAATGCTCAAGTGAACAAATTGTGAGCAATTTCTAAGTAAGCAATGTGCTACACTTCATATCTGCTGAAGGCTGGCACATTTATAGTAGTTGCAATCTGCTGGAGAATTTTTTGCAAGTAGGGGAAAAAAAAAGTAGCTAGATTTGACAGATAATTTTTTCACAGTGTTACCCTTTGTTTATAGACCTTCTCTCCTTTTAATGTACCCTAGAGCAAATCTCTGCCTTTTCAAAGGGCCAAGCCATTGTTCAACTGAAATGCTATTATTTCTTCTCTCAAGTTTGATTAAATTACTTGGCACTCAGACAGGAGTTGATAATAACACAAACACAGTGATCAAGGTGGCAGATGTGCCGTTATTCTCTTAATGGCAAGTAACTAATTCTTCAAACTGGGGCT